AAAAAAAAAAAAAAATCAAAAAGCCCTCGCTTCCTTTTCCTCCAATTTCGTTCGTCTCAACTACTACTCCTCCTACGCTCGTATTTCCTACTTTCCATCAGTCCCCCCCGGTGAAAAAGTTTGTATTCCATTAGCGTGTCCATGAGTAGGAAACCTTTCCAAGGCGAACGACGGCAAACTCGATTCCGCCGCCGAGCGGGCAAAACGCCCGGAAACAGGTTGAACGGTTTGAAAAGTATTAATTACGAGACTGGACCCTGTCGGACCGGAACAATGCGTCGCGTCGCACGGCGAGGTACGTGCGCTTGTCCCCGGGTGGGTGTGTGGGTGCATTTCGAGGGAGAAACAAGCTTTTGTTACCGCGATCGCAACGACGCTCGTTATAAGTTCCATTCGACGGGGACAATCCATTTTCCACGACGTTAAGTGTATTGCGACCGGGCCAGGAATTATATCGAAGGAACGCCTAAGCGTGTTTAATTGTTGCGTCTCTCCGCCCTTTGTCTCGTACTTCAGGCCGGCCTGCTGTCTCCTCGTGCAACGCTATTACTCACTCCATCGCACCCTCTGTTGTTGCAGGTCTAACGTGCTACACTTGCGTCAACGTCAGCGATAACCAGGTATCGATGAGTCCATTAAACGTTCCCCTTAAGAGTCCCTAATGCCTGTATCGTATCTGCCGGCTACTGGACTACAATTTCGTTTAACACCCCTTCCCCCAGGACATCGGCAGTTCAGTTATCGACATTTTATTTGTTTTTAAAAACTTTGCCTCCGCGTTTCACCTGACATTCGATTTCCTTTAAGCTACCTCGGTATCACGCCTTCCTCCGCTCCTACACGCGCGATCCTCGTTTCTCTTTTTTTTTTTTTTTTTTCGATCTAACGGGCAAACCCTGGCCGTTAGATCGAGGACACGATTTCTGTGTTGAAATTAAAATTGCCAGAGTTTTCAACGTTCTACGTGCTTTTGATTGAAGATCGAAGAGGAGTTCGAACGAAATGTAATTGCGAGTTTTGTCAACTGTTGATATATATATATCGATATTTGACTAGCGTCATTTTCTCAGAAAAATTTTCTGTATAAATTTAAGTAATAACTGATATACGATAGTGATATTTACGTCATAAAATGCTTCAAATCCCCGTCTTCTCTCTTTACATATTTTAAATTAAACAAACGAATATAGAGTGATCGGTGACTGATATTTTTAACACACGTCGAGTCGTGTATAATTTGCATGTTATTACGTTACGAATTAATAAACGAATTCGCGTCGTTAAAACCCTCGGTTTTTTTTTCTCAAACATTTGAAATTTAATAAATGTACGCAGAGTTTATGTAACAGAGCATTAAGCAGCATTTTTAAATTTCGCCAAATCGCATTAACGTCGTAAAATCGTCCTCTTCCAGCCGTATGAAACATTTAAAATTCAACAGACGCGCGTACGAGGTATTTTTGTTTATTTTTAGCAGCCGTCGAGCCGTTTTATTTCGCTTGCACGTTCAAGAGTAAAACTGCATTCAGAGCCTTCGATCTCTCGCGTTAGAACGCGTTCGTAAGACGTTCGGAACTCGAGAGCCCTAATTCAAGAGGCCGGGCAGGGGCTGCGCTACGCTTCAAGTCGTCGATGTCGCGAGAGGAATTACCAATATCGGGTAACCAAGGGTTCGGTCGTCGATTTCTCCGTGGAACGAGAAGAAAACACGGGACACGGCAAAGAAGATGGCTTCGACGTCGTGGATCAACTCCACGGGCATCTCTAAACAGGAGTTCCATCGGCGGGAAATCTGTATCGAAAATCGTTGATACCGATCGGGTCGATGGCCCGGCCGCAAGTTCCGGCTACTATCCTTTGCTCCGGGAATTTATTCGTTCGATTCGTGGCTGCCATCGTCTTATATCTTTCTCCCCGTTTCTTCCCCTCCTCGCCGAGAACGATAGCCCGAAACTTTACATGTATATAACGGCGACACACAGTTGTTGGCCAGCACATCAGAAGCAACATCAGAGTTCACCGGTTACATTTCACCCAACTCTCTGCTTCTCGTAACGTCGATTACGAATCCGCGGAGCCAGTAAATTT